TATTTGCCATATTTATACTCCACCCTTCTCACTCCAAAGGGGGCTCAGAGCAGCTCACATTCAATGCCATACAAACATACATTCAGCAAATAAAAATATACATTAAAACCAACCATTTACAACATCTCAAATATTAAAAACCAATTAATTAGAACCACATAGTCCAGGCCATTCCAGTTGTCATTGCACTGTGCTTTTGAACCCCGGACTATGCCTTGGATATCGGACCTGGACTTGTGGTAAACTTCTGTGTATTTAGACCTATTGGAATGGATATTGGAATTGGTTTGCTTGCTCCTGTTTGCTGAACTGCCTTCGGTGTGAAATCCTGGACTGCCTCTGACTACTCTTAGGAGGAAGGCTGCAGACCATTGACAGTTAAAAGAATGTTAAATAACATTAGAAGCTCTAAGGCAAAGTATAGTTTGGAGCTTAAAGCATTGAAGGTCAAATGTTCCAATGTTCTTTCAATCTGAACCTAAAAGACTAATTTGAACCCATTTTGAGGATAACACCTTAGGACAATCCTCTTTTAAAATTCAAGCTAGGACCCAAAACACAATCCTGGCTCCACTATCATTTGAGCCATTCAGTTAGGCGATCAGTTAGGTGATCCCTCCATAGCCCAAGGATGATGGTCCTCCAAGTGTAGTGTATTGGTGGTGGGTTTTAGCTTTCAGTCTGCTGAGGTTAAATAGCTTGCCATCTATCTGATAGATGGTTTCCGCTCCTGTGGGAAGCTTCCCATCAATAAGACGAAGTATCATAGCAATGAAGACAGAAAATAAGGTTGGGACAATAACACATTCCTGTTTGACACATGATTCCACCTTAAATGGGTGACTTTGGGAGCCATTGCTGTCCAATACTGTTGCCATCATGTTATCGTGGAGGAGTCATAGAATGTTCACAAATTTGTCAGTGCACCTTATTTTTTAGAGGATGGTCCAGAGAGCACTGCAATTCATTGTGTCAAATGCCTTTGCAAGGTCAATGAATGCCATGTACAGAGGTTGATTTTGTTCCCTGCATTTTATTTGGAGCTGTCATGCAGTGAAGATCATGTCCACTATTCCTCTGGAGCCATTACCTTCTATTAATTAAGAACCTGTTCTTTTTAAAAGTGACCATCGTTTTTATTTAAGAGCTTTTCTATGTACAAAGGTGTTTTATGTATAAACAATTGTACTGTCAAAGACTGCATTCCAGAAGATCTTCCACAGAAACAATAATTTTAAAAAAATATCAAGACATAATGTGTCAGTTAGATTAATCTATACATATTTTGGCTTCTATATAGTAAATTTTGTTTAAAGAAAAAAAGCGAAGCAAATTAAGCAAACCTTTAATTTGTGATCTGCCAAACCATGAATATTATGAAAACGAGGCAGGTTTTGTTTATCATCATTTTGTTTAAATAAATGGATACATTAATCCAGCTCTATGGCAATTTTAATTGCAATTATTACTTGTTTTCTGCATTTAAGCTTGACACAGATACACGACACTACAGAACAATTTTGTACTCTTGACTCCCCAAACATATTGGTGCTTGATTCATTATGAACATTTAATAACATGGAAAGGTTTCTATAGAACCTGTATAATTAAAATACTGGGGTTGACTTTTAACAAATCTATCTAAAGCCATTAGGAAGTGGCATACTGCCATCTTAAAATTATCCACCTTATTAAAAAAAAAGATTGGTACCATCACTGAAATATTAAAGTTCAGGGAGAAATTGTTGCTCAAATGTCTTGTGCTGAAGAGGGAGGACTGGGGGAACAAAGGGGGAGTTGATATAAGGAAGAAAATTAATGTTTAAAAAGATGATTATGCTACGGATATTATCCATTACCCATGACTATTTAACTAGATCTGCAAATATAAGTATATTTCTAGCTTCCACTTAAAGTTAAATTAACATTTTTAAAAATTTTCAGGATACAGAAAATTATAGCTAATTTCACAAGTGTTATGGAGTTAACTGACCTAAAGGCACTAGATCAGGTATGGGCAAACCCAGGCCTGGGGGCCGGATGTGGCTCCTTGGGCTCTTTTCTCAGGCCTTCCTTTCTCTCACCATCCTATCCTTCCTTCCTTCTCTCTTTCCTTACTCATTCCCTCCCTCTTTCTCCTTCCATTCCACCCTTTCATCTTTCCTTCCTCCTCTCTTTTCTTCCTCCCCTCCCTCTTTCTCCCTCCCTCTTCCCTTCCCTTCCACCCTTTCATCCTTCCTTCCCTTTCTCCCCCTTTCTCCCTTCTCTCCCTCTTTCTCCCTCCCTCCATTCCCTTCTACTCTTTCATCCTTCCCTCCATTTTGTCTTTATTTATTTATTTATTTGCTTACAGTATTATTCCGCCCTTCTCACCCCACAGGGGATTCAGGGTGGATTTCAATGTACATATACATGGCAAACATTCAATGCCATAGACACACAACATATATAGACAGACACATAGAGGATATTTAACATTCCAGCTTTTTCATGAGGGTATTCTGGCCACCAGGGGAGCTGTCACTTCACCGTCCATTTGTGACACTGATGAAGTACTCTTTCATTCCTCCTTCCCTTCCTCCCTTTCATCCTTCCTTTCTCTCTCCCGCAATTCCCTTCTACCCTTTCATCCTTCCCTCCATTTTGTCTTTCCTTCCTTCTCTTTCCTTTCTCCTTCCCTTCCCTCCCTCTTTCTCCTTCCATCCTTCCCTTCCTCCCTTTTGTCCTTCCTTCCTTCTCTCTTTCTTTCCTCCTCCCCTTTCTTCCTTCCATCACCGGGCAGCCAGTCCTCCTAGCATGCGGCCCTCAAGTGAGAAAGCTTGCCCATGCCCATACTAGATCCTATCTGATTTTGAAAGCGAAGCAGGGTCAGCCCTCATTGCTGTTATTATTATTTGCTTCATTTATACCCCACCTTTCTCCCTGAGGGGACTCAAGGCAGCGAACAATCACAGACTTTGATCAATTTTAAACAAAGCAAATACATTTTTTTTAAAAATTAAATAGTACTGAGTGCCCATTAAAAATACAATTTAAACAAAATAAATACAATTTAAATGCATTATTGTTAGCACTTGAATGGAAGACTGCCAATAAATATCAGATGCTGTGGGTAATATTTGAGAGAAAGGAACTGGCAGAGCCACCTCTAAGTATTTCTTGCCTAAAAGAATCCTATGCACAGGGATATCACAAGTCAAACTGAAGACATCGACACGCCTACACGCCTAAGTATTGTTTTTCAGGACCTCAAAAAGATTGGGCATGATCTGTGTACTTAGGTGAGATGGTTACAAGAAGAGTATAGACTATCAAAATATATAATACTTACTGTGACACTACAATAATAGCACAGCATAACAATAACTAAAGGCTGATAAATATAAAATCCATACAAACCCACTGCAGTGGGTAAAACATCTTCTGTAAGTTTAGAGATTTCTACTTGGTGTTCCAATCAGATCAGGGGAAACAGATGCAATCAGTCCCATCTTCACGATTGGAATATTCAAATATCCTCCAAAGCAAAATGAATCCACAACATATGGAAGTGCCTGCCAGCTGTTCTGGGTACATTTGAAACTAATAGCTGGGTTCTGATACCAAGAAAGGTTATGGATATGGTTTAATGTTGCAGCTATAGCTCTAAAGAATCAAGACTGTGGTTTAGACAAGAAAATATACATTGCTCCAAGAGTGGTTTGGGATCTTTCCCTTGTTCAGTCATTCAACTGCTTGAAAAGGGAACAATCAGTAGCAATCAGCCTGAACTATCTTATATAACATTGTGGGTTTTTAAAAATGGTACATCTCAATAAATGCTGCAGTAAACTTCAAAAGATGGGCTAGATTTGTTTTTAAGAGACAGGGTGAAGAATGCTATGTACTGGTCTGGATGAGGGCAAACAAATTGAAACAAGACAGAGGTACTCCTGGTCAGTCAGAAGGTAGATTAGGGAACAGGGATTCAGACTGTGCTGGATGGGGTCACACTACCCTCAAGACACAAGTCTGCAGTTTGTGGGTCCTTCTGGAATCGGCATTCAACCTGGAGGCCCAGGTATCTGCGGTAGCTGGGAGGGTCTTTGTACAATTAAAACTTGTGTGTCAACTGTGCCCATTCCTTGAGAAGCCCATTCCAGATCTGGCCATAGTGGTACATGCCTTCTGGATGACTGTAATGTACTCAACGTGGAGCTGCCTCTGAAGAGTGCTCAGAAACTTGCCTGGTCCAAAGAGCTGCAGCCAGGTTGCTCATTGGGGCTGGCTACAAGGAGCAGACAACCCCTGTTTTGCAGCAGCTCCACTGGCTGCCACTCTGTTTCTGGGCACAACTCAAAGTGCTGGTTATGACCTTTAAAGCCCTAGATGGTTCAGGTCCTGGCTGACTGCATCCCCTTATATTAACCTGCCCAGACCCTGAGATCTTCAGGAGAGGCCCTTCTCTCAGTCTCACCTCCATCTTAAGCATGGTTGGTGGGAAAGAGAGAGAGGGCTTTGCTTTTCGGTGGCTGTCTTGCGACTCTGGAACTCCCTGTCCAAGGAAGCCAGAATGGCCCCTTCCCTGCTGTCCTTCAGGTGGCAGGTTAAAACCTTTCTATTCTGGCAGGCTTTTAAAGAAGGTTTTAAAGATCTAGTCAGGGGGTTGGACTGGATGGCCCATGAGGTCTCTTCCAACTCTTTGATTCTATGATTCTATGATTCTAGTCAGGGGATACTGTGGTTTTATATGTTTATATGGATTTTACCTGAATTGTTTTTAAAACTAATGATGTTTGATACTGCTTTAAAATTTGTATATTTTAAATTGAGTCCCCTTATGGGGAGAATAAGCGGAATATAAATAAACATCCGACGTGTGATCCAATTCAACAGCCAGCAGAGTGTCTGCTGTGGACTCATCTTGTTGTGTTGTGTTTCAAATAGTAGTAGTAGTAGTAGTAGTAGTAGTAGTAATAATAATAATAATAATAATAATAATAATAATAATAATACAGTACTTCAGGAGCTGGTTTTCCCTCTTCGTATCTGCTGCCTCCATTTTCTGCCTCTCGAATGGTTTCAGGGATCTTGATATCTGTAGAAATAAGCACATGGTAATTCCTAAATCTACTAGAGCTTTGAATATTGTTTGAAAAAAATATCTCCCAGATATTGAGTAACTGTCTTACAACTTCATTTGTGTGTGTGTGTATAATTTGGTTAAAATATGAAAAGGGCCCTCAATCTCCCAAAGTATATTTCAAACATCATGAGTAAACACTACTCTTGAGTCCCAATTTTGGGAGGAAAGTGAAAATAACAAATCAATAGATGTATTCCACACTGGGCATGCGTATTCAGGAGCAGAGTAGCAAAGTGCTCTAGGCCAAATGTCTTCACTGTGTCTGGTTGTGATCCTGTTGTGCCAGTCAGCTTTCGTACAATGTTATTTCAAGCACTCACTTTTTGCCTGATAACCAAGAAGTGCTTCTTATAAGTCAGACGCTGCACTAGATGAGAATAGGGAATACATATTTTTGTTGTAGAACTCTATGTGCGTGCCTCTATATTGGACATCCACTTCAGCTGACTTGCAAAGTAAAGTGCTTGATCCAACTTTGTTCTCTGGTGGTTATTTAACATGTTGGAAAATTATTTCTGACAAGCATGGAAAGGCTTGGCTACTGTGGGGGCTCAACCAATGAATTTTGTGGCAGTTTTGAATCACACGTGGACACTATTTTTTGTTCAGTGGGGATCCGGAGCTTGAGTGTTTTCAGGGGGCATAAAAATTGGTCCTGTACATTGTTTGTAGCTTGTGGTTACATTTTCCCTATCTCTGACCTACAGAAAATTAGTGTGTTTAAATTACAATGTGCCACTGAGTGAAAATACCTTCCCAACATATAGATGTTTCTCTCCTTCCTTTTTAGTCCTTATTTAGCACAGTGTATGCCACTCTTGCCCATCCTGTTGTCCTCCCAAATATGGCATGCTAGAAGATGGTGACAGGGGTTATAGTCCAACGTATACAATTTGGAGATAGCTGGCAGTGGAGGCCCCCATATCAATGGATTCTGCATTCACAGATTTTTTAAAAAATCCCAAAAGCAAATTTTATATAAAGGATGCAATTTTGCTATGCCATTGTGATTTTGGTATCCACAGGAGTTCTGGAATCAAACCCTAGCAGATACCAAGGGCCTGCTGTATTGGGAGTGGCTGATATTGTGTACACCACAAAATGTAAAGACATCCATATCAACTAGCCTACATGATGCCTTTGGCAATTCATCACGTTGCAAAAAACCCCAGAGATAATTACCCATGCACAGCCCTTCTCCTGCTGGTGAAATACTTAGAAACATTGCTAATTGCCACCTTCCCATTTCTCTGCACTGGGAGACAATGAACTAAATGAGAGTTGTTTGTTTGCAGGAGGCAAAGTATCATGACAAGCTCCTGCTTTTTTACACTATTCAAAGAATAGGCTCCTTAAAACAATATAAGGAACTGGAAAAAATAATCTTTCTTAAAATATACATTACAGACTCTATCTATTTGGCTATTATTCAGAACATTACTGGCTGATTCAAATAACAGAATGTTTTATTTGTCACAATACTTCCCACTGAGCTGTAGTCCTGTAATTTGGCACATGCAGGGCCCCCAAAAGAGCTCCAATTACAAGAGCATCTGAAAACTGATATCTACATTTCTTGCACACAAGGAGGGAAGTGTATTTTCAGGTTCTTTCAGAATATTCAGAAAATTGGAAGTTGGCACATCAAATAGTGGAAATCATTCTGATTATTTTTTTTAAAAAATGAGAAAATTGATGCTTTTAATCTGACAAGCCAAATGTAGCGGATGGTTTCTCTAATACTAAAAGGCAACAACTCAGAACAAAGCGAATAGGGTTTGGATTAGTGGATGGGACAGGTCCATACCAAGAAGCCCGTGTCTATGCTTGCAGAGCACAAGCTTGATTTATGCAGATGTAGAACAGTAGCCTCCTATCTCCATTGGGGTTTGGTTCCAGGATCTGCCATTGCTACAAGAAAAGTATGGATGTTGAAGTCTCATTATACACAATGGTGCAGTAAAATGGTGTCCCTTTTATAAAATGGCAATATTAAGGTTTGCTTTTCAGGATATGGAGGACTGATTGTATACTTGTAAGGTAAGGGATATGTAGAGATATATCTGTGTAAAGTCAAATAAAGAGTATTTAACGGGAGGCCCTGAATATTTTTCAGTAAATCACAGACAAAAATCTACTGCTGGAAAACACTAATCTGCATGTTAAGTGCTGAATCTACAGAGCTTGAGCCAAGCAATATTGATGAAGACAGATTGGCATTATGGAATTGCATGCCTGTAGATGTATCCACTGCAACAGCTGCCTTTTGAAAAGTCCATCAAAATATGTCCCTGAATCTTTATTAAGGATTCATATGACTACCTATAAGTTTCTGATCCAGACCAAATTCAAAAAAACTGGTTTGGACTTTGGCACTGCAAGCCTAGACACATTTTCTTTAAAAAAAAAAAGCTTTACTGGAAATAAATAACAAGGCACATCTCTAAGTACACACGCTCTGTTAAATGTCATAAAGACCTCAGTATGTATCAATATCCAAACTATCTGTTAACTGAGATTACATCCAAAAGCCCTTCTCTATAAGGGCTATAAATTGATTAAATAAATATGTTCTCATGCATATTATTCTCATTTCTGCAGTCTGTTCTGAAAGAATTTGGTGAAAGATTGGAAGATAGATCTTGTGCATCAAAGAGCATCAGAGGTCATCCAAGGGCATATTGAAATACTTTAAGGAAGTTTTTGAGAAGATGGCCCTCTGGTGGGGCAGTTGGTTAAACCGCTGAGCTGATGAACTTGCTGACTGAAAGGTTGGTGGTTCGAATCCGGAGTGACCCCCCACTGTTAGGCCCAGCTTCTGCCAATCTAGCAGTTCAAAAACATGTAAGTGTGAGTAGATCAATAGGTAGCGCTTCTGCAGGATGGTAATGGCGCTCCGTGCAGTCATGCCAGCCACATGACCTTGGAGGTGTCTATGGCTCTTCGGCTTAGAAATGGAGATGAGCACCACCCTCCAGAGTCAGACACAACTAGACTTAATATCAGAGAAAATCTTTACTTTTATTTGTTTGAAATGAAGATGGAACTTGGAAATAAAAAAATTACAAGTAACAGTTAGATGCAGTCAATTTGTGAAGTAGTTTGCTTTTGTAAAGAAGGCTTAGTGGGCCTTGAGCTTGGTTCCAGAAACCCCCGTTTATACCATTAACCCATGGGTGCCCAATGCCATGACATATAACAGTGAAGTAAAATGGTGTCCCTTGCTTAAAATGGCAAAATCAATGTTTACTGTTGGATGTATTTTATTTTTATTTTTTTATGTTCTCAAATCCTGGATGGTTAAATCTGTGAATACAGGATTTATGGCTGTGGATTCACAACTGTATAACAAAGTTACATTTCAAAAGAAACATGAATGGGAATTAAGTTGCATCATTGGTGAATTGCATGCTGCAAGTTGCTTCCCCTGGCTCAGGGGAGTGTGCTCGCTCTATCAATGTTTAACATTTACACAAATGATCAGCCACTGCCAGAAGGGACAGAGAGTTTCATCTATGCTGATGATCATACCATCACTGCTCAAGCAGGGAGCTTTGAAATGGTTGAACAGAAGCTCTCTGAAGCTTTAAGTGTTCTTACTGGCTATTTTGGGAAAACCAGCTGATTCCTAATCCATCTAAAGTGCAGACCTGTACTTTTCACCTTAAGAACAGACAAGAATCTCGAACTCTGAGGATTACCTGAAAAGGAATCCCACTGGAGCACTGCAACATATAAAATACCTGGGAGTTACCCTGGACAGTGCTCTGATGTACAAGAAACACTGCTTGACTATCAAGCAAAATGTGAGTGCTACAAATAACACTGTACGAAAGCTGACTGGCACAACCTGGGGATCACAATCGGATGCAGTGAAGACATCTGCCCTTGCGCTTTGCTACTCTGCTGCTGAATATGCATGCCCAGTGTGGAATACATATCACCATGTTAAAACAGTGAATGTGGCTCTTGATGAGACATGTCACATTATCACAGGACGCCTACACCCCACACCACTGGAGAAATACTGTTTAGCTGGTATGGCAGCCAACAATTAAAGGACCAAGGCAGTGACTTCTCTGGCCCATCCTCTGATATCAGCCAGCACACCAATGCCTTAAATCAAGAAACAGCAAGATCTACAGAGATACTCACAGGAACACCTCAGCAAGCGAGAGTCCCAAAGTGGCAGGCTAAAACCTGCAATCTCAATCCACGGCTGATACCAGGTGAGACACACACACACCCTGCCCCGGGCACACAGAAGACTGGGTGACTTGGAAGACTGAGCTCTGGAACTACGAGGTGCAGAGCCAATCTTCAGAAATGGGGCTACAAAGTGGAGTCCGTGACATACAAGTGTGGAGAGGAGCAAACCACAGACCACTTACTATAATGCAGCCTAAGTTCTGCCGCATGCACAATGGAGGACCTTCTAACAACAACACCAGAGGCACTCCAAGTGGCCAGCTTCTGATCAAAGGACATATAATGCCAAGTTTTTTTACTTTGTGTTTTTAAATACATTATAACTGTATTTGTTTCTGACACGATAAATACTGGTGAATTGAGAAATACTTTCTAACTATTGTTTCGAGCATTCAAGTTTTTTTGCCACCAGGTCATCAGTCTTAAAGTTGACATTTTAAAAGAAACAGAAATGAAAGATTAACGAACAAGGCATTGAGTAAGGAAGGACGATTCTTTTCCCATATTCTAACAAGCAAAACCAATGAATTATTTCTTGAACGCTCCAACAAATAACAGGGACAAATTACTTTCCAAGAGCTGACACAGACAGTAAAGAAAGACTGATTCATCCGTCTCTACCAGCTCCTCAGAGACAATGGTGCAGCCAAGAATGACAAAGAAAAAACACAAGATGTGAGAAAAGAAACTCATGAGTGAAAATCTTCTACATTATGGTATTCCCAAAGGGATACAAAGCTTTAGCTGATTTTAATTGACCTAATCTATAGAAAACTCATTGTTATGTTATTTTACTGTGTATGATTTTGCTTTATTGTCTTTGTACTCATATGTTGTATGTATTTTACTGTGTTGTTA